GTTGCTTGGTCTAGGCTTGTATCCACTGCAGTTCAGAAGTGTAAAGTGACTTGATTAAAACACAAGATCTGAGGGGTCTTAGTAGGTCAGATGTGAAGATGATATTTGTTCTTGTGGGAAACCTAGAACTTTGAAAAATAAAGGAGTTGCCCATTTAAGACAGGGATGAGAAAATTTTTTTTCTGAGGATCATGAGTCTTTGAAATACTCTTCCTCAAAAAATGTGGAAGCAGACTGGGCACATGTACATAGATTCTTGGTAAGTATGGTGTTGAAAGATTATCAGGGCTAGATGGGAACATTGAATGATCATGTCAGCCATGTTTTTATTCAATGGTGGAGTAGGTTCAAGGGTGCAAGTGGCCTACTCAAGTTCCTAATTCATAAGCAAGACTAATCATGCAGAAAGAAAGAGGCACTTATTAATAACTGTGGACATGATTTGCCCCTCCCTGGAAGTGGCAACAAGGGGCATAAGGAGAGATTTGGCCCCTTTTTTGCTACTTCATTTAAAGGTGAAAAGGTCCATGGCTGACTTTCTCAGCCAGCCACCAATTAAGGCCACCGTGGCAGGTGAGAAAGGTGGCTAATTTCTTGACCAGGAAACCCAAGCAGCCTGCCTGCCGAGTTGGCGGGGGGCAGTGGAGTACTTTTTGAACTCGCCTCTCCCTGTGGGAAGGGTATCAAAAGTGCATATCTTCTTGCTGCTGGATCCTTGAGGGGTAAGCCTGAACAATCAGACTTTAGGGTTCAGAAGCCCTGGTTGACTAGGAATTTCCGGTGACCCAGGAAAGCAATGTGATCTGTCGAGAAACTCAATGTATGTCAGTTAGCTCATAATGAGGTTTTTTAGTGATAGACTATAATTAATTGTATTAATATTGATTTTGCTGGAATACGTCACTGAAAAAGCAAAGCTTTGGAATCTTCTTGTAAAGTTTCTCAACAAAGACTACATGGTGATACTTTTATTGGCAGAAAAGCTGCAACTGATTGCACAGTTAAACAGTCTGCTGAAACTTACTGTCCAGGATCACAGCCATATGAATGGAATAACAGACAATCTGTCAATGCCAGGTGAAGTTCATCTCAGCATGAGATGCATAGAAATGGCAAGGGAGGTAAACCAGAGGGGAAAAGAACAACCTATTTAGGGCATTCTAGAATGACACATTACTAGAATGACACTCACTGCCATAAAATGGCAACATGTGTACCCATATTGGTCTTCACATAGGCAACTTCCAATCTGCCAACCAAACTGGTGAACTACTCAACAGTAGCTTCCATGAGAGAAAGAATTCATGGTTATTATTAAATGCTCAGCTAATGGGTCGGATTTTCTGAAGAGTGGCAATCTCTTACAGATTGCCACTTTGGCCCTTTTTTTGGTGAAAGCTTTATATTTTGGACAGGGAATTCTTTTCAGGCTTCCCTCAAACGTGGAGCTGTACATTCATTCTGATGGTACTTAGGTAATGCGGATCCATCAGGAAAGGCAAACCATGTCCCCTTTCCACAGCAGTCAGCTACTGTATTCTGACATTTAAAGTTCCCCACAGCTGCTATTAAAGGTAAGCATATAAAGTAAATGTGATGTCAGGGTGTGGGAGAAGAGGGCGCAAGATAGGTAGGGTGCCATGAAAGCAAGGTGCCACCTGGGTAGGGCAAAATGCAGGCAGGGTGCCAAAGTGCAAGGTAACTGATTCAGTGGGGTGGTTGATCCAGCCAGGGTCAGGGGGAGGGCATATTGAAATGTGGAGCTTGTTCAAGGAACAGCTACTGCGTGTCCTTGAGAAGTATGTACCTGTCAGGCAGGGAGGAAGTGGTCGAGCGAGGGAACCGTGGTTTACTAAAGAAGTTGAATCTCTTGTCAAGAGGAAGGAGGCTTATGTAGAGATGAGGCGTGAAGGCTCAGTTAGGGCACTTGAGAGTTACAAGTTAGCCAGGAAGGACCTAAAGAGAGAGCTAAGAAGAGCCAGGAGGGGACATGATAAGTCTTTAGCAGGTAGGATCAAGGAAAACCCTAAAGCTTTCTATAGGTATGTCAGGAATAAAAGAATGACTAGAGTAAGATTGGGGCCGGTCAAGGACAGTAGTGGGAAGTTGTGCGTGGAGTCCGAACAGATAGGAGAGGTGCTAAATGAATATTTTTCGTCAGTATTCACGCAGGAAAAAGACAACGTAGTCGAGGAGAATACTGAGATACAGTCTATTAGACTAGACGGGATTGAGGTTCATAAGGAGGAGGTGTTAGCAATTCTGGAAGGTGTGAAAATAGATAAGTCCCCTGGGCCGGATGGGATTTATCCTAGGATTCTCTGGGAAGCTAGAGAGGAGATTGCAGAGCCTTTGGCTTTGATCTTTATGTCGTCATTGTCTTCAGGAATAGTGCCAGAAGACTGGAGACTAGCAAATGTTGTCTCCTTGTTCAAGAAGGGGAGTAGAGACAACCCTGGTAATTATAGACCAGTGAGCCTTACTTCGATTGTGGGTAAAGTGTTTGAAAGGATTATAAGAGATAGGATTTATAATCATCTATAAAGGAATAATTTGATTAGGGATAGTCAACACGGTTTTGTGAAGGGTAGGTTGTGCCTCACAAACCTTAGAGTTCTTCGAGAAGGTGACCGAACAGGTGGATGAGGGTAAAGCGGTTGATGTGGTGTATTTGGATTTCATTAAAGCGTTTGATAAGGTTCCCCATGGTAGGCTATTGCAGAAAATACGGAGGCATGGGATTGAGGGTGATTTAGCGGTTTGGATCAGAAATTGGCTAGCTATAAGAAGACAGAGGGTGGTGGTTGATGGGAAATGTTCATCCTGGAGTTCAGTTACTAGTGGTGTACCTCAAGGATCTGTTTTGGGGCTACTGCTGTTTGTCATTTCTATAAATGACCTGGATGAGGGCGTAGAAGGATGGGTTAGTAAATTTGCAAATGACACCAAAGTTGGTGGAGTTGTGGATAGTGCGGAAGGATGTTGCAGGTTACAGAGGGACATAGATAAGCTGCAGAGCTGGACTGAGAGGTGGCAAATGGAGTTTAATGCGGAAAAGTGTGAGGTGATTCACTTTGGAAGGAGTAACAGGAATACAGAGTACTGGGCTAATGGTAAGATTCTTGGTAGTGTGGATGAGCAGAAAGATCTCGGTGTCCATGTGCATAGATCACTGAAAGTTGCCACCCAGGTTGATAGCGTTGTTAAGAAGGCGTACAGTATGTTAGGTTTTATTGGTAGAGGGATTGAGTTTCGGAGCCATGAGGTCATGTTGCAGCTGTACAAAACTCTGGTGCGGCCGCACTTGGAGTATTGCGTACAGTTCTGGTCACCGCATTATAGGAAGGATGTGGAAGCATTGGAAAGGGTGCAGAGGAGATTTACCAGGATGTTGCCTGGTATAGAGGGAAGGTCTTATGAGGAAAGGCTGAGGGTCTTGAGGCTGTTTTCGTCAGAGAGAAGAAGGTTAAGAGGTGACTTGATAGAGACATACAAGATGATCAGAGGATTAGATAGGGTGGACAGTGGGAGCCTTTTTCCTCGGATGGTGATGGCTAGCACGAGGGGACATAGCTTTAAATTGAGGGGTGATAGATAATAGGACAGATGTCAGAGGTAGGTTCTTTACTCAGAGAGTAGTAAGGGTGTGGAATGCCCTGCCTGCAAAAATAGTAGACTCGCCCACTTTAAAGGCATTTAAATGGTCATTGGATAAACATATGGATGATAATGGAATAGTTTAGGTTAGATGGGCTTCAGATTGGTTTCACAGGTCGGCGCAACATCGAGGGCCGAAGGGCCTGTACTGCGCTGTAATGTTCTATGTTCTATATTATGTCAAGGCCTGGGGGCGTAGGTATTTTGAGGGAGGTGGGGTTGGGGTTTGCAATGTAAGTTTGGGGTCGGTTTAATAGTTATTCAGGATTTGGTATTTAGCAACTTTGTCCGATTGACTGTTTCACTTAATTTCATCAGAACCATCTGAATTCTCCAATTTAAATTGAGGCTTTGAGGAATTGCCCAGTGGAATATTCAATTTCCCAGACAGGTCATTCAGAGTGTGTAACATTAAGGATTCTGCAGAGTCTCCATGTGCAACTTTTATCTACTCTGGACCAACAACTATCTGGCTGGTGGAAAATCCAGTCCATCATCTTGGTGCAAGTTATAATGCCAAAGGGTCTTGGACTAATCACTGACCTACAAAATTATGCACTGTATGGAATGACCCACAAGCAGAAAAAAGAAAAGCAGAAGTAGCAACAAAAAGTATTAGTAGAGCGCTGGCAATAAGTTTAGGCTCTGCTAAAGTTAACTATCAGCACTCACCTCTCCTATGGGAGAATATCCATTTCACCAGCAGCAGAAATTCAGAACAAACAGAAGTTTTGGATCATGAATCTTAGGTATGGGGAAATGTGCAATACACTGGCACACCATCATGCTGCAGAGTGGATGCTTGCTTATGCAAGTGACATGTTGAGACCCCAAACTTAGTTAAGCTGTTTCGGACTTTGGGCGCCTCCATAGATAGTGTGTGTGCATGTGTGGGGAATGTGCCTGAGTATGTCAGTGGGGTGGGTTGAGTTGGTGATTTGAAGAGACAACCTCTAAACAGACGGTTTCAGGCTCACAGTATGGATGCAAATTGTAGTTGGCATAGACAAGTAAGTGAAGAAGGGCAAAATGTATTAAAGAAAGGGAGTTTCAACCTTACAGGGGGAAAAAAATGAAGGAGTGAAATGTTTAGGCAGAATTCTTGTATATTTTAGAGAAATTAAATGGTTCTAAGATATATTCAAAAAATCTTGGAGGACATTTCTGAGTTCATTGTTGCAACTGGCTATTATAATTGAATTAATCTACGTTACTGATGAACTGGTCCTGCGGAACTACATTTTGTTTTGGATGTCTGCCTTCATCTCATTCATAATCTGTTGCAAAACCCACACCTGCGAGTTCTTGAACTTGTCAGCTTATAATGTGCATTGATGTTTTACCTCATTTCCAAGTAAAGCAGAAACACATGCTTCTGAGGCATCACAAATGGCAGTGAGATCATGGCCCCCTTCCAGGGCTAGCACGACACGGCCTCCAGCCAGGCCCATCAGCTGTTTGGTAAGGTAGCCAAAACCTGTGTCAGGAAAGAAGAAATGCAAGAGAAGTCAAAGGTCAGAAGCCTACTTTGACTCTTGGAGAATGATCAAAGTTTCCAAGTATTACATCACATCTGAAATGGCCACCAGGGATTACTGGGACTAAATGTATAATATAAGCCAGGTTCAATTTCAATAAATACAATTTACTATTTCAGCTCATGCCTTTTTGATCTTCTGTTTAATATATGCATTTTTTTTGTGATAAATGTTTTGAATTTCCTAAAGTGGCATGCCATCTACTTCCTAAGGGCCTCCAAAAAAAAATGCCCACTTCTCATTTGCTCTGAGGCAAAGGCAGCAAATGGAATATTATAAACAAACATCTCAGAAATGCTTAAAATTTCTTCTCATGAAGAAAACCATTAACCATATGCTTTTAAATTCTTGCTATTTCAACCCTCAAATTCTAACATACACCCTTTGTTTATGACTTTTTGAACAAAGACTTATTTTACAGCTCAGCCAGTAAACCCATGGCTCCTCTGAAGGATTTAAAGCTCCTTTTGAAGATTAGTGCTCATATGTTCCTTCCCTCCCCCTCAGAGCTGGAACACATAGGTCATTTACTGTCACTAATTTAGTTGTCAAAATCTTAAGATCTAAAAAAAACTGTGCTCTAATTAAACCACTCACTTGAAAATAAAACAATTTAATTTGTCATGAAAAGACTTACACTTAGCAGAGACTTTGTAACCTCCAAGAGGGGCAGGGTGTCCTTCTACTGCATCGAATCCAGAAGACACAAGCACCATATCAGGGGCAAACTCATTAGCAATGGGCATCACTACTGTCCTGTAAAGATAAACAAATATCACACTACTTAGACTGTCATAAACAATTACCCATCCTTACGATATTATTTAAAAAAATTGTCTCTAATTAAAAACATCAACAGTGAAGGCATTATCAGATTAAGTTCATTTTTGGCTTCATTTTACACAAATCTAGAAATTATGAAGAAACTTATGCTGACTCTACTACTTCCATATTGAGAAAAGCCTTTTCTTTTTTAAAAAAAGACTGATATCTTTATTGCTTTAAGGTATTTGGAAGATATTGTGTTGAATTTAAATCCAAATAGGTTTACTAAACTGAAGTCATTGGACCAGTGCACTGGTGCTAATAGAGGAACTCGAACATTCAGCTACTGTAGTACGAGAACATGGTTAACTCTGCTTAGATCCCGATCTGTCATGCACAGAACAAGTTAGCAGTGATCATACATCTAAGCAAAACGGCTGAATCTGTACGTGTATCAGGAGGCAGATAGTTATACTCTAGCCACAATCAGAGAACACATGGAACAACATGAACAGTCTTTGCTTATGTTTTAGAGGTGAGATGGGAAAGATTCGAATCTGAGAACTCAACCCTTAACTGTATTAGAATTTCTATCTGAAACTGAAGAACAATGGAAATGAAGGAGGCAGATCTTAAAAAAAATCTCACACCGAAAACATTCATATGATATTACAGCATAGTAATAGATTCTTTAGTTCACCAACTCTGCATCATTCTATACAGACAGCTAAGCTGATCCCACTCTCCTGCTTAATGTGCACATATTTTAATTTTTTTCAAGCAATTACCTTTTGCAACCCATTTTGTAAGAGCATATGATCCTACCTGACTTTCTGTTTAAATAAATACTTTCCAACTAATTCATTTAATTTTTGTTTTAAAGATTTTCCAGCATTGGCCATTATTGCAAACACCCAATCATTATTCAACCTATATCAGCCAAGTGATTACTATTAAGTCTTTACAATCTTGAAATTTTAAAACGATACAAATATCCCTGATGCCACCCAAAGTCTTTCAGCGGAAGTTACTGGCCACTCCTCCTCCAAATTGTTACCAAATTAGTTAAAGTAGAAACTGGCAGAGGCTGATTTCAAATGTTATACCCTTACACCACAATTACAACAATGAGGCACTGACTGAAAAACTGCAATGTTCATAAAGACAAAGGAAATGACCAACATTATTTCCCAAATGTTGAGAGTTTGATGATGTTTTAGGTTTTGGGTGGAGTGGCTGGCAAGTAGACTGTACTTTGGAAAACCATCTGAATGTTTTCATATGTGACACCTACAGATTATGGTGAAACCACTTCAAACATACGACTATTACGGAAACCAATCATCTTCTACGTGCTGGACTTTTCATTAACTGTAATGAAAGAGTGAAAGTGCGTAGAACACATGACTTTAGCCAAATTCTGACCACCCCATAGGCTTCCCTTCGAGTGGTGCAAGGCAGAGATCTAAACCAATTCATAGCTCAACTTATTCATAAAACATATTGCTTTAGAAAAAGGGAGGATTACTGTGCATTTATTAAATACATAGCTCATTTGTTAAAGGTGTACAATTAAATTAAATGTTTTACCATTAAGTAGTTTTAATGATCTCATGGGCTGAAAGTGTTAGCCACTTAGCTTTTAAAGTACCAATGATGTATTTCTCAAAGAAAAATGTAGAAACCAACAGGATGTAGGTGAAAAGGTATTAATATGGATTTTTTGTTTAAGCAATGCATCTGTTGCCTGCCACTGTACTGGAACAGGAGGTTGTTAATGTCATCAATATGTACCCGGAACCGGAAACTCTTGCTGAGTCTATCCGTATGCACAAGTGCTTTCTCCTGATGACCAAGGTGCCCTTGTCACACTCATTCCACTTCCAACTCTGCTCGGTGCTCTACTTCCCTACTTTACTTGGCACCCTATTTGCCACTCCTCCAGTTATTTCATTGGCATCTCTGTTCCCAACACCTCACTGTTCACCATCTCTGAATGCAAAGGAGACAATGAAGCAGCATGGCAGTGAGCAGGAGAGATAGTGAAGGGTTGTAAGCGGGACAGCCAAGTGTTGGGAGCGGGCAATAAACAAATTATGATCCTAGGATTTGAATTAATTGAAAACATTTAAAAGTTACTCATTTATTAATCTTATTTTTCGATGGAGGTACTTTGCTGCAGCATTGCTGGTAGTGACATTAAAAGCACTTTGACTGCATGGGCTGAGAGTGCACTGCCTGCAGCTGCAATGGCACAAATGAGCTTTTTGTTTGAGACTTAGTCTTGCAGTGTTAAGAGGCTGCTTCCCAACATCGTTCAGAAATCCAGATCCAACAGTCACATTGGGAAAAAATACTTCTATCAAATGCAGTGTCATTAAGTTACTTCGGTCAGCCACTAACTGACTAAATACTGTACTGAACAAGACCCAAACTGATATGCTTTAAACTAGAGATTTACAGGACTTCCAAGTAGTTTCTGTGAAAAATTGCATTTTCAGCAGATTGTGCATGTGTTTCATGAGCATCAGCCTTATTTAAAACAAAGCCCTAAATTCAAGAAGTACTTTCTTCAACAGTCTATAAACCTTGGCTGAAGCATACAATTACAATCTTCTAACCAACAGCAACTACAAGGATTGGAATGAACACCTCAGATAAATTTTTTATGGGATTCAAATATGATTTGTCCATGTCAATGCCATCAGTTCAGAAAATTGCATCAATTCATGAAGACATGCTAAGCTAAGCAACCAATGACCCATCATTTAAAATAGCTTCAACAAAATAATAAAAACTGAAAGAACTGCAGATGCTGTAAATCAGGAACAAAAACAGAAGTTGCATGAAAATCAGCAAATCTGGCAGCATCAGTGAAGAAAAAATCAGAGTTAACATTTCGGGTCTGGTGACCCTTCCTCAGAACAGAGTTGGAAGGAAGATTCTGAGGAAGGGTCACCAGACCCGAAACGTTAACTCTGATTTTTTCTTCACAGATTCTGCTAGACCTGCTGAGCTTTTCCAGCAGCTTCTGTTTTTGTTCAACAGCATAATGCAGTGTTTGCAAGAAATCATAACGGAAGCTGAACGAATAATTACCACCTCCTGCCTTATACTACTGATCTGAAGCAGTTAAATTATCAGAACAAACAGGTCTATCTTGCAATTGCTTTGTTTAGTGGCAAATGGGACAATTGCAAAAATGCACACTTGTCAGTGACAGTCTTCAGAGGGTGAACACGAGCTACTGGGAGGCAGGAGCTCAATTAATCATCCAGTTTTTCCAATAATTGAATAAATAGAAAATAAATTTCTGGAATCAATTTTAACATCTCAATATTGTGTATTTGTCGTAATACCTTTTAGCTCATCATAATTAGATCAAACAAGTTTTTTTAAAGAGGCACTGTTCTCACACTGACTGTATGTACTAGGAAAGAAGAGGAATCACAGGAGGCTTCACTTTTGTTACAATGATGTCACAAGAAATGAGTCAATGGTTTGCTTTAAAATGATGTGGACCATCCTGCTCTAGAGTTGGGGAAAAAAGCAAAAGATTCAGCAAATTTGTTAAAAATGTATCCCTCTGAAACACAGATTACACAGAAGAAGCCAGCAGTGAACTTTTTAAACAGACTATAACTTACTTGTAACTTGTCCCTTCAGTTATTTGATCAGTTTAATTTGTGGAACCTTATTTAGCACTTCTTGAAGTTGATTAGAACATAATAGAATAACGGAGTATTTGTAATGTGTTCATAACAAAAACAAAGTTAAGGGGCAATGGGAAGACTAAAATAAAAACAAAATGCTTCCACTCATCGTTATCAACAGGAGCAGTAAAGCAGCAGCAAAAATGGGGTCAAATTTGCTCCCTGTAACATCTGATGTGTGAAATTCACTGGACATGTAAAGGAACAAATGGAGTGTGGTTCAGACGAAAGACTATTTAGAACAGCGCTGTTAGCTGATTTGATTTTCACTGTGAAGAACCTTAAAAAAAACATTAAAAACAGAAGTTTTTACACAAAACCAACCTGAATTCATTGGTTTAAAAAAAGGGCAATTAATTGTTTGTTAATAAATAGCTTGAGTGCTGCTGAAAAGAAAGAGACATAATGTTGAAGCTTTTTGTCTTGCACTCATCAGAATACACAAGAATGCCAACTTTCAAAGAGCAACAATTTATACTGCATGAGAAAAGGGTGCAAGATGCAAAGCTTTGACAGTATGCCTCTTTATCAGACAATTTATCAATTGTGCTCAGAATGAATCATATTACTCCAGAGGGGCAGGTGGCAAGTAGACAGCCATATACTTTTTTAAAAGAAGAGTGGTAGGTAAGAAAGAGAAAATAATTAAACCAAACTGGGGTAAGCAAATTATCACAGACCATTCTTGCCCACATTTCTAATTACGGTTTGAGATGGCATCTGTTGATGTACATAAATGGGCTATGTACTCACCTTCGTAATTGGATAAAAAGTACATGGCAAAGGGAAACCTAAACGAAGGTGCAATTAAAAATACGAGAGGCTTTAAAAATAACGTGGGTGTATTTCATTGTTGAAAGGTGTAGGTTGGTCACATTGGTAACATACTAGCAAGGGATATTCAATTTTTGAAGTTGTGTGCTTTCCACAACTCCGCATTCCTGTATGGTCATGAAAAGGACATCTGTTAGGGAATGACCATGGCTGTTTTATTTGAATCGCAATACTAATAACTACTTAAGACATTTATGAGCCCGTCTGCTGCACCTAGCAATCGTAGAGCAAGGACTGCAAAAACAAGAATACCATCACCTTAGAGGAAGTCTGGTTACTTTAAAAATATACAGAAAAAGAACTTCAATTATGACCTTTTAGTTCAATCAAAATGTGTATTACAAAATCTCTTTGACTGTATATGGCTTTGCATTGAAAGCATAATATTTCTGATCAGTTCATTAGCAATACAATTTCTTACCTTTCTCACCCAACATATGTAAA